ATCATTGCTTTAGTTTCAGTTACGTATTGCTGGAGACAGCAACATTCCTGGCACTATTTACCATGAGTCATCCCAGCACATGTATGGCTATAAGTCACATATACACACACATGTATACGTTCATATATACACATACAGTTATATAGATACAAATATACACTCACATACTGTACACACACATACGTACATACAGCTCGTACATACACACTCAGGTATACACTCATATATACACACACAAACACACAGAGCTGTACACATTCATATACACATGCATGAATACACAATGCACGTATACTAACAACGAGCTTATACAATCATACACACACACACACACACACATACAAGCAATAGCGTATAAAGGAAAACACATACATACATACATACATACATACATACATACATACATACATACATACATACATACATACATACCTCCCACTACCCCCAACACTACAACCAGTACCACCCCCTTCACTCTAACCACCACTACAACAACTACCCCCACATCAACACCATCAGAACCACACTCCCCACCACACCTCCACCACCCCCTACACTCCCCCACCCCCACCACACCCCCACCACCCCCTACACTCCCCCACCCCAACTGTGCCATTTAAGACCAATTCTGCACCTCTAACACCACTGCAGTACCCACAAGAGTGATCAATAACTTATATTGTGGCAAAACACTACACTGTGGAGGGGGGAGGGGGAGAGGGGGGAGGAAGGGGAGAGGGGAGGGGGGAAGAGGGGGTAGGGGAGAAGGGGAGAAGGGAGAAGGGGAGAGAGGAGAGGTAGATGGAGGATTTAAAAGAGAGAGAGAGAGAGAGAGAGAGAGAGAGAGAGAGAGAGAGAGAGAGAGAGAGAGAGAGAGAGCTCACTTCAACTGTATTACTCTCCCACCAATACTTTTAGAACACACACACACACACACACACACACACACACACACACACACACACACCTCAGTAAGCAATAGTGTAAAACAATCAAGCAGGTAAACATCTATCTAGAAATATTCTGCATTGTAAAATATATATATATATATATATATATATATATATATATATATATATATATATATATATATATATATATATATATATATATATATCTATTGTCTGTCTAAGATGTCTTGAATAAAGACGAAAGCTAAGGTACTCCGTTGTTTCCATTTTCCCGTGTGATTTTATCAAGATTTATCTTATCCACGTTTTCATTGTGGATTTACATGAAATATATATATATATATATATATAAAACTAACAGCTTTATGCTCGACTCCAATATTTACAAGTATAATTAGAGGCAAATAATTACAATACAAATTATATGAACCAATTATAATAAAAAAATAATCACACGAGCCACTACAATAACGATTAGAATAACAGATAATTACAATAACCACAATAACAATAACAATTATGATAAAAAGAATAACAACAACAATAATTACAATAAGTCATGGAAAAATTGTAACAACAACAACATCCACGAGACGAATTATCTTTGATGTATGTAATTCACTTAACGCTCACTGACGTCACCTGGGCTAATTACTACAGGAAGGTATACACAGGTAATACAGGTAACCTACATATCATTTGGTCAAGCACAGGTGACCAATTAATTACTGCACACGTAATGCTATACCACCAGCAGGGAAGAAACGTTTGGCGCTGTATAGACGTTTTGATCTTCCATTTCCCTTTCCGGATTCAGTGTTTGATCTGATTGCCCTCTCCTCCTCTTCCACCTCTTCCTCTCTTCCTTCTTCTTTCCTTCCTCTTTTTCCTTTTCTACGCCTCTTCCTTTCTTCTCTTCCTTCTCCTCCCCTTCCTCTCTTCCTTCCCCTCCTCTTCTCTTCCTCCTCTTCCCTTCCTCTTTTTCCCTTTCTACGCCTCTTTTCTTCTCTTCCTTCTCGTTCCTTCCTTCCCCTTCTCCTCTCACAGTTTCTATCCACTCAATCTGTCTCTCCCTTCCTCGTTTTCCTTCCTTCCTCCCTTCTTCCCTCCATTTATTCCTCCCCCCTCCTTTCTACTCTTCCCTCCCCAACCATCCTGCTCCTCCCTCACCTAGTCTCCCCCCCCTCCTCTCCCCAGTGTGACTCAGAGCCTTACACACACACACACCGTGGCCTGTGAGCTGCTGGTGGTATAGTAGCTGTTCCCGCCTGAGTGAGTGAGCGAGTGAGTGAGAGAGAGAGCAAGTGGGTGGGTGAGTGAGTGAGTGAGTGAGCGAGCGAGTGAGTGAGTGAGTGAGTGAGTGAGTGAGTGAGGGAGTGAGTGAGTGAGTGAGAGAGAGAGCAAGTGGGTGGGTGAGTGAGTGAGTGAGTCCAGAGAGCAAGTAAGTAGTAAGTGAGTGAGTGAGTGAGTGAGTGAGTGAGTGAGTGAGTGAGTGGGTCAGAGAGCGAGTGAGTGAGAGAGTGATTGAGTGAGTGAGTGAGTGGGTCAGAGAGCGAGTGTCCTACATCAAACATGAAGCCTTAGTCAATACATTCCAAGTAACAAAAACAACCTTACCTCTACCTCCTCCTCCAACACACGCACACCCACCTCCAACACACACCCTTCTCCACCAACACACGCCCTTCTCCACCAACACACACCCTTCTCCACCAACACACACCCTTCTCCTGTCACACACCCTTCTCCACCAACACGCCCTTCTCCCTGCTTTTACCCTTCTCCACCAACACACACCCTTCTCCACCAACACACACCCTCCACCAACCACACCCTTCTCCACCAACACACATCCCTTCTCCCACCAACACACACCCTTCTCCACCAACACCGCCAACTATCACCAACACACCCTTCTCCACCAACACACCCTTCTCCTGTACCCACACCCTTCTCCTGCTTACGCCCTTCTCCACCCTTGCCCTTCTCCCCAACACGCCCTTCTCCACAACACCCTTCTCCCTGCCCACCCACCCTTCCATTTCCCACACACCATACTCCCCTCCCCTCCACCTCCCTCCTCTTCCTCCTTGTCTTCCCTCCCTCCCCCCTCTCGTCTTCCTCCTCCTCTACATCTTCCTCCTCCTCCTCTTCCTCCTCCCTCCCTCTTCCCCTCACCTCCTCATCTTTCTCTTCCTCCTCATCCTTCCTCCTCCTCCTCTTCCTCCTCCTCGTCTTCCTCCTCCTCCTTGTCTTCCCCTCTTCCTCGTCTTCCTCTTCCTCCTCGTCTTCCTCCTCCTCGTCTTCCTCCTCCTCCTTGTCTTCCTCCTCTATCCTCTTCCTTCACCTGCATGGTAGCCTTCCTCTGACCTACATCCTTCCTCGTCATTTTTTGCCCCAGCAAACTAGTTATCGTAGGGAGGGTGAAGGAAACGTGTCGAGAGGAGGAGAAGAAGGAGGGTGTGTGGGAAGAGGAGGAGGAAGAGGGGGAGAAGGAGGAAGTGTGTGTGTGTAGGGGAAGAAGGTGCTATCCAACAACGTCAACACCATCCCTACGACCATCGACTTAGTGGTTACCTGTGATCACCTGAGATTTAGACACCCCAGCATATTTCACCTGAAGATTGACCACCCTAACGTTATCTGGGAAGCGGTTAGGTTAGGTTAGGCTGGATTGGGTTAGGTTAGGTTAGGTGAACAGGAAAGTGCACTCTGATTGGTTGATGGCGAGGGAGAATCTACACTCTGATTGGTTGACGACGAGCGCTCACAAACACCCACTCCATCACCTATACCTGTCACACCTGAGGCTAACGAGCGTCTTAATGACCCCTCCACCTGGTTACCCGCGCAGTTAACGAGGCGAGAGGCGTTAACCACCTTGTTAGCTCCTGGTGTCGTTAAGGTGTAAACACTCGATGGTTGGTGGTTAGGTTAGGTTAGGTTAGGTTAGTCTGTGTAATAGTAAACATGGGAGGAGGAGGAGGAGGCAAGAGAAAGAGGAGAAAGGGTAGGGGAAGAAGAAGGGGGTGAGAAGGGATGAGGAGGAGGTCGGAAGGGTAAGGAGAAGAAAGAGGGGGAGAAGAAGAAGGAAGAGGGAGAAGGAGGAGGAAGAGGAAGTCAGGAGTATATCAGAAAGGGAGGAAGAGAAGGAGGAAAGGGCCAGTAGGAGGAGGAGGAGGAGGAGAAGAGGGCCAGGGGGAGGGGGAGGAGGAGAAAGAGGAGATAACATTGAGAGATAAGAAATGTTTGAGAAAGAAGATAAGAAAAAAAAGAAATACTAACGAAGGATAAAAATTAAGGAGAGATAACAAGATAAAGAAGAAGAAGAAGAAGAAAAAAGAAGAAGAAAGAAGAAGAAGAAAGAAGAAAGAAGAAGAAGAAAGAAGAAAGA